GGTCTTCTGAGTTAAATTCGCCCATTCCTGTCCACTTTAGTTCACTGATTCCTAGGATATCGATGTTCAGTCTTGCCATCTCATTTTTGACCACGTCAAGCTTACCTTGATTCATAGATCTTACATTCCAGGTTCCTATGTAGTATTGTTCTTTGCAGCATCGGACTTTCCTTTCACCATCAGACACATCCACAACTGAGGGTCCTTTCGGCTTTGGCCCAGCCGCTTCACTCTTTCTGGGGTTACTTGTACTTGCCCTCTGCTCTTCCTCAGTAGCATATTGGACACCTTCCGACCTGAGGGGCTCATCTTCCGGCGCCATATCTTTTAGCCTTTTGATACTGTCCATGGGGTTTTCTTGGCAAAAATACTGGAGTGGGTTGCCATTTCCTTCTCCAGGTGGATCACGCTTGGTCTGAGTTCTCTGCTGTGGCCTGTCCGTCTTGGGTGGCCCTTCACGGCATAGCCCACAGCTTCATTGAACTGCGCAAGCCCCCTCGCCACGACAAGGCAGTGATCCATATTGGCCTAACTGGTCTATAATTTCTAACCCTCCTTGGAACCCTCTCAGAAATTTGGTGTTAGACTGGCCACTTTACATTCCTCTGGCAAGAAGACTTTAAGTAACAAATTACATACTTGAGTAGGAAGATCAACAATTTCTTTAATAACTCTCTGGTATATGCAGCACGAATCTGGTGACTTGTTGAGTTTTATTTTATCCATTAGCTGTAGAATGTCATCTGTCTTCTCTGTATGTCTTAATTCTTCAGAGATCCACCACTATAAAAGTAGTTCAGGCATTGGTATCTTCTGCACTATGGAAAGAATTATTCTTTATCACATTGTGGTCAAACCAACTTCCTAGTTGGTTTCCTGATACTGATGTATTTAAAGTCATTTTTAGAATTGTCATTCTAATTTTAGTAATATGTCTCTTGCCCTGTTACCAGCCCACAGAGTTTGTTGTTCTCTCTGACTGTACAAGGCTTCCTTTTTTACAGGAAACCTCACCTTTTTACGTCCCTTGACTGTGCTTTTTATTCACAATGGCACCTTCTAGGGAGTAAATTTTGTGACCTGCCTTCTATCTCAGTGTGTATCACTGGAGTTTTCAATAACTCTCAAGCACTTCGAAGAGATCTGACTGTTTTTCATTTCTTTTGTAAATAGACTCATTTCTGAGAGAATTTCTGTTTATGACATTAAACCTTACCATCTTGGACTCCCTTTGAGTAGGGCGGGTCTTCCCTGTTGCTCTGTCTATGAAGTAGGAATTTCTCTCAATTTGATGTCTAGGATATCATATCTCTTCCCACCTTCTTTGCATGTACTGATGTTTGGCTTAACACTTATTCTGCCAGCCAGTACCTAGTGGCCTGTGCATTGTTATTTTCCGCTTTTCAGACTCGAGGCGTGATTTCTTGCTTTGTCTCGATGACAATCGGAAAACACTGTAGTCAGCTCCCCGTGCCTTTAGTAACTGTGAGATGCATTTTGATGCTTCTGCTGTTTTCAGCTGTGCTTCTCCTAATAAACTGAAATCCTGTCCTTTAAAAGATTAATGAGTGTGGGGGGAGACTTATGAGCAGGAATCTCTTACCATAATTGCTGAGGAGTTTCTGTGCCCAGTCACAAAGATGGTTCATTCTTGATTCTAAGAATATTTTCCATTTTGGAGTCCGCACATCAATAAGGCCATTACTGCGGACTGGCCCTCGTGCTAATCCACACATCTGTAATGTGGGCACTGTGTCTGTGTAAAGTGCTGTCAAATTGCAGCTGATTTACAGCGACCCCATAAGGTTTTCCAGACAAGGGAGTCAACTACAGCTCACGGTTACGAAAGAGATGGGGAACAGTCCTACACTTCCTTGGTGGTCTCCCGTCCGAGTGCTAACGAGGACCGGCCCTGCAGAGCTTCCAAGCTCTGATGAGATTGGGCTTGCCAAGATCTTCCAGGTCAGGGCAAAGGCAGGCACTACGTCCGCCAATATAAATTTATTTCTACTGTGAAAAGTCATCCAATTAAGATGGGGGTTAAATCGATAATGGGTCTGGAACCATCTGTCATCATGACAGACAGGAGTGTAACCTTTTCTATTAGGGAAATGCAGTATCGTGGATATGCAGAGTCAGATCCAACCAGTATGTACGCTGGTGAAAACGAGAGGAAGGTGTCCTCTGTGACCACTAAAACGGGTATGCTGGGGATCCTAGGCAAAAACTACATGTGATGGGGCCCGTAATAAAGAGTGGCCTTAGGTGAAATTGAGGGGAAAAGTTGGCTGGATCCATCCCATAGGCAGGTAACTCTGAGAAGCCCATGTAGGGAAATTGAATTGCTTGTACACCAAAACCTTTTCCTTGACTTTAACATACAATGTTTCTCAATTTATAGAAAGAGGAAGGGTCGAAAAATTATTAATTTTCTTTTATCAAACAAGACTTTTTATCTACCAACTCGTGCATTTTCAGTTTCTGGTAAAGAAAGTAAGCTAGCCAAAAGGGGAGAGGGAAACCGATTTTATCACATGGAGTTAATTAAATATCAGTGCAAGAAACTCAGCTGTCTTCCTCGATGTGGGAGAAGCATGTATTCCTATTGGCTTGGACTTCAGAAAACCCTTTGATGCATTACCACAGGGAAATGTATTAGTTGCTTTGGGAAAAAAGGATACCAATACAAGAATTGTAATGTAGATGAAGTAACGGGGAAGGATGCAAGATTGTGGTAAAGTTGAATGTTCTGGTGGAGAGGAAAGAAATCAATACAGTACTTAAACTTAATCACAAGATGTGTTTTTGAAAATTCAAGACATATGTATATGTCTTCAGGGTTGACTATTTAAGTGTAGTCGTCCAAGACTGTTGGGTCATTGGATTATTTGAAATTAAAAGTGTTTTAAGAGTGGTATTGGCAGTCTGGATAGGGAGGTATTGATAATATTTCACAAAACTATTGAGCTTTCATCTGCAATTTTCTGTTCAATTTTAGACACTTGCTTGACGCTTCTGTGTAGAAGCTGGTATGCAGATAGTTTGTATAAGTGTAGACGTATGCGTCACAAGCAGCTAGAATGGAACGACACTTAGAAAACCCTCACCATGCACACATCCATCACATAATATCAGCCTACCCTAAAGAGTAGAAGGAAAAAATCTGCCTGTTCAGTGGTGGTCCAATGGATTTATAGGTAGGCAATAATACCCAGCCGTTTAGAAACGATCTGCAAATATTCCACTATGTAGATCCCTAAAAAGTAGCTTTTGAAAACGTGCAAGGAATTACAGATGGCAAAAAATTAGCAAAACATGTTTGCATAGCTGAGACTTTGCACCCAAGCTATACATTTTCACCCACAGTAGAAGTGGGGATTTAAACTTGGGTTGATCCGCTGACCAATCTGTCATTGGGGCTATTGCTTCACTCCGATTCTCTCCTTTAATTTCCGGGACCCCTTGAAACCGAAGAACCAAATTTGCTTTCTCCATTTGCAGCTGTAAAAGTTTTGACTCTTCCGTGGCTTGCTTCATCTCCAGCTTTTGCACCTTTTTCTTAACTATTTTAGTGTTGGCATCCATTTTCTTCACCTTCTCTCCCATTTGCTCCATTGCTTTTAATGATTGAGTCAATTGCAACTGCTGTGATGCCAAACTCTGCCCGATTGTTGACAGTTGTAGCTTGATATCTCCTCCAGCAGAGGGCGCAAGGAATCAGCCAACAGTTTTGAGAGCTCGGTAGCCTCTTCCATTCAAGGACTACCCACGATTTCGGTTTCAACAGCTTTTCTTTATCTGGTTTCTTCCCCGCCATCTTTTTGGATTTGTTTACTTTACAAAAAATTACTCAAGTCTCTGATATTCGCCCAAATGCTTATCTGCGTTCTGGTAAGTCTCTTAAAACAAGTTTAAATGCTTATTTTTCCGCTCCCTCCTCATCCGTGTTTCACCTATGCGGTTTGGAGGAACCACCTCCCCCGCTCGCTTTCCCGTCGCTCTTTATAGGGTGGGCAGCTTTCTTTTTTTATCTTCATGCTCGCTTCGACCCGACTCACAGTTCATTGTTGGCCCATCTAGCCTTGCTCAGCATCGGGGGGTTTTCCGCCTGATCTCCAATGCTTGTCCCGGTCAGCAGCACTCGTACCATACGGTCACTCAGTGGCAGGACCTTCAGGGCGGAGGAGCGCCTCAATTCTCCGGCATTTCACCATCGAAGAGGTCGCCCCTCAAAAGCCCCCTGGCTAGGAGCCTTTTACTAAGGTTCCAGGGGGGTCGCGACCCGTCGCAACCCCTCCTACACGCTGGTGTGCAGTTTGCATCCCCGGGACGTTCGGAAGATGCGTCTGCCTGCGTGTCGCCATAAACCGGAAGTCCCTCAGTATTGGAACTGTTGATAGACCATTGAGACGGGTTCCATTTTCTGGTCTTGGTGAAAATTCCCATCACTCAGCTCTGTTCAGTGATGCTTACTCCCAGGAAAGTGTTCTTATGATTGCACTGTTTTGTTTTGTCCGGCTTTCTCTCAATAATGCCACCTTTCCTACCCTATGTTTTAGTTGTTATTTTTATGTTTTTGCATATGTACTTTACCTTTGGTTTAACTTGTTTTAATGGTGTGTCCTTGTTTGGTCTTTAAGACAATTTTAATGTATTTTTGTAATCTGTTAGCTGCCCTGGTGGCCCTAATGAGGGCAGAAAAGTGGATGGCTATTTTGTAAATGGATAAACATAAGTACGCAAGCGTTTCTTGCTTTAAAACACCCTTCTAACCTTAAAAGCTTTTGTATGATTCTACAATACAAACTTGTGTCCAAGATCCTTTCTGCACTCGGTGTGTGTGTATATATTACAGGCCTGTATTGGATAGTTCCAAAACAGGCTTTTTGGCCAGCTTGAAGAGACGTGAAATGGAACATTTTAATGCAATATATACATCCTTGAAACATGCTTGCATGTTGTTTGTATATGCTAATAATATCCGATTTTCTTTTTTTTAGTTTTAACAGAGCAGGATAGCGCAGCAGCCCAGCAATACATCCGACAGGGATGCCCGAATTCCCTTCGAGCTGAGTTGTGGGCT